GGCCAACCCCACGGAACGAGTGAATAAAACCCTCAAGACCATGCTCATGTCGTACGTCGAGCGTGACCATAAGAGCTGGGATGAGCACCTGCCAGAGTTCAACTTTGCGTTGAACTCGGCAACTCATAGCGCGACAGGCTATAGTCCGGCTATGTTAGTCTTTGGACGGCAGCCGACTCCTCCCTCGACCTTTAGAAGGACTCAGGATCGGCTGGCCCGGGAAGCCTCCGAGGGCCAAGAGCTGACCGAATGGGGAGAGCACATGAGCCTTTTGCCGAACTTGTGGGAGCGCACTTGCTCCAAGTCCAGGGAGGAAGCAGACCGTCAGGCGGTCTATTATAGTAGGAAGCGACGTCAGGCCGATTTTAGGGTTGGGGACTGGGTGTGGAAGCGAAATCGAATCTTGTCTTCCACAGCTCAGGGCGTGTCGGCGAAGTTGGCGCCGAAATACGCTGGCCCGTATATTATCGAGGAGGTATGTGGGTCCAATACCTACCTCCTCGGTAACCAGCAAGAGGTATTGCCCGAGCTAGTCCACACCAAGGACCTCAAGCCCTATTTCGGTCCATTCTCGGATCAGGACAACGAGGAACCAGGAGGCGGGGACTCAATACCGTTGGAGGAAGAGGAGAGCGTAGGCGACCCGCCAGCGAAAGTCAAGGAATCCAGCGGGGATCCGATATGCGAGCGCGTCGCGATTGCAGCCCCCGCAAACGAGTGTGAGAAACCCGCGGCGGCTCCAAGGGTACCGATCGAGACGCCGGCTAAGCGAGGCCGGGGTAGGCCGCGCAAGAACCCTGCGTGCGAATCCCAGGCGCCAGGTGGAGACGACCTGGATGGCAATGCGGTAAGGGGAAGAGGCAGGCCACGTAGAACCGCTCAGCACGTACGGAAGGTGGTCCTGCCAGCTATCCCCGCAAATGGGCCATGTTCTCGAGGAAAGCGCAGGGGACCGGGACGTCCACGTAAGCAATAGCGTCGAGTGTGACACTGCGTCGATTAGGTTAAGGGCTGAACCTGAGAAATCCCTTAACCCCACTTCTTCTCTTTTACAGATGGAGAGGAAGCTGGTCATAAGTGAAGAGGCCTTCGAGACGGCCACCCAACTGCTGCTCGACCTGAGATTGGGTCCGGGCGCCGATCGGCTGATCGGTGATCTCCGTAGGTTTGTCCGGGCCCAGGTCGAGGTGGCCGCTCGCGAAGGCCGCTCACGCCAGCGGGTGGACGACTTCCTCCGGGAAGGACTGGCGCCCCAGCCCAGGAGACCGGAGACACGGGAAGCGTCCACCCAGACCGACGGTACGTACGAAGAGGACCGTCGGTCTAAGTCCACGCAGGACCAAGGGGTGCAGACCCACGGGTCGAGCGCGGTAACCATGGAGAGCTCGACCCAGTGCCCCAGGCCAAGGGAGGCCTGCGGCCAGCAGCATTGGGTCTGCAACCATCCCCGTATCTCCGAGCAGGAGGGCGAACCTCAGCCACGGTGGGCGGCGTAACGTTTACCGCCGCCCCGGGACCTTCGACCCCGCATCCCCGCCCGCCGGTGGAGGGAGCCAGATCCACTCCAGGAGATTCCGGCCACCGCGGAAAGTTGGCCACCGTATATAATAAGTGCACAGCACTTATTATTTCTGTAATCGTGCGATCCCGCGCAGCATGCGCGGTAGATATTGTTTAAAGCGCGCGTAATTAGTCCGCGATTATCGCGATTGTCATTCTCTCTCTCTCCCCGAATCGTGTATTAACGATATAGCGTGCGAAAATCTCTCGGCTGACCCCTCAGTGTAGCATGAGCCTTTAATAAATAAAGCAGCTTGTCATTTGAAACCGCGTAATCCTTTGGTTGCCCTTTGTGTTTACCGTGTTGATGTTTTGATTCGATCGCGCCGGTTATCAGGCATAGATAGCGAGCGCGGTAGAACCGCTCCACTCGACGGCGGTACTGGAAGCGGCCGACGGTGTGCAGGTGAGTCAAAGCGCAAGCGCCACCACCGGACAAAGTTAGAGACCCGGTTGGTTCGCGAGCCAGCGCCGCCACCGGCAGCTTAGTGAACCCGAGTTGGTTCGGAGCGCCAGAGCCGCCATCGACGAAAGTCGCAACCCGAGTTAGCTAAACTCGCCTACTCGGCGCATGCGCAGGGTAGCAAAAGGTGAGTAACGTGTCTTGACACGTAGATAACAGCGCACCGATTAGTGGATAGGATAAATAGATTAGCCGGAGTTTCCCTGTTAATCGGCTGCCTGTTACAAAATGTATGTTTTTTTTTCAACGGGCATAATTCATCTATCGCACTAATTTTCAAAGCCTTTTATTCTTTTATTCATTAATTTTTGACTTGTTTTAAAGGTTTTTAGTGTCATTCTTCTGAAAGCTTCTTTGAATTTTCTTAACGTATGTATTTAATTTTTCGTGAGACTATTTTCGTTTTGTTCATGCCATTGTAAGCAACATATCATTTTTCGGTGGCCAAGTATTCTTTTCAATTTCCTTATGCATGTAATATTTTAACCACTTTCATATTTTTTAAGTCATCTTGTAATGATTTTATACCGATTTTGGAATATGCATTTTTTTTATTGATCGTGTTTTTGTCATGTCATTGTAAAGCGACATATAATTCCATTGCCAAGTATTTTTTTCAATTTTCTTTGCGTATCTGTTAATTGTTAGATTTTCATTACGCCATTATGTAGACATCTTATTATCTACCAGGGTCATGTTTGTTTATGAGGTTCTTCAATAAAATTAAAAAGTGTTTTAAGTTAATGAAACTGAGAATATATAATACTGAGATTATATATATATATATACTGAGAATCATGGAAATTATATGTAAAATTTGTTATAAATTATAAATTATAAATTAATTATGAAATTATATATATAATTTCCATGATTTATTTGTCATCGATTTTATTATTCCTGTATTTTGTTTCCATATCCCAGTCTTTAAGCCTTACATTCCATTTTTTCTCCGTTTTTTTCTTATTACTCAAATTATTGTTTTCGTTATTTATACAATATATATAATATCCACCATTGTTTTAAAACTCTAACTTTAACCATCCATTTATTTCCTTTCAAATAAAAAAGTTACTTCTTCAGACCATGGTTTCGTTCTTACATTCCAATTGATAATATCCTAAATAACATTATATAACTTTTCTACAATTAACATTTTCCGATCACGTAATAACTTTAGTTTCTTAATTTATTCGTGAATTTCTATTATTTTATTTTTCTGTTCTGAATCATCTTTATCAACCAGGCATTTTTTAAGGCGCATGCGGATATCAAGGAACGACCACAATAAAAAATGGGAGCACGAATATGACAGAGAGAGAGAGAGAGAGAACAGCCGAAGCGCACCGAGGAGCAGCATGTGTACATGCGGCGGTAAGGAAAGAGAGGCACGTGACTGCAACGTGCAGTATCGCTTCGAACGGCAAGTAGGAGAAAAGGAACATATCTACACTAATTGTCATTACCATTTTAACGGTTTTGGCCGGAGAAACCTTCTATTTGATGCGAATCGATTTGCAACAGTTGGTATAGATCACAATGAGGTGACTAATCGATTTAGTGTACATCCATGGAGAACTGGACGTCCGACTGCAAATAAGAAGGAACTTGCCGACTAAACCGTTGCTCTCCGGATGCTACGAATGGAAGTTCGATCTCGATAAGACACTAGCTATCATCAGCGGCTCTCGCATATTGCTGCTGATTGCTATTCACATGTTAACTCTCAATTATCGCGAGAATAGTTTTCGCTGATAAAATTACGAGCAACGGTAACAACAACAGCAGTGCCAGCGGCCTCTTAGAGAGGAATGGTAGAGAAGTATCCTCGGTGAACGGCGAGCCCGAAAACATAATTTTTTCTGCATGTCACTGCACTTTTTCAAAATTGAATTATCACGAGTATTAAAAGTTACATTTCAATAAATAATCCCTTATTTTTCTAAAATTTCCGTAGTCAACAATATCGAAATAAGTGTAAGTAGAAGCTGGGCTTCGTAGGCGTTTTATCAGCGTTAGAAAAATGTTAGACAATTTTTGATACCAGATTTAGATTTGTAATAGCAAATTTTATAAAATACTGTGCTTTGAAATTAATTCTGAAACCGTTAAGACTAGTAAAAGTGGAAAAAAATCGTAAAAATTTGGTTGTATCAAATTTCGAAGGTCATTTAAAAACCATATAATAGAACTATCGTCTCTATAGTATTTTTCTCGGATTGTACATCAGTCTCAGTTTTAGTTGTTTTCCGGTTCATATTTCACTCTAAATCGAGATATTTAATTTTTTCACATTAAAAAAAAATGATTCATAGTAAGCCGTTGCCACAAACATACAATCGGGGGCTCGGGAGAACACGTGAGTCGTTTAGCAAGATAGGTGCGAACCAGCGCGCCGCGATGTTGTACTCGTATATGCACATCGAACTTTATATTTGAAACGCTACATAAATTGTTTGTTATTTCATTTATAAGTGCGCTTTAACTATTCATTATCTACATGTGTTCTTTTTTTTTCACAATAACCTGCGTGTAATACTGAAGTCCGAGGTATTCATTATAGTTAGAACGTGTCCGCTCACTACGAACCTGCGATTTAAAAATAATTTGTTCGCGTTTCGCTCCGGGCATAAAAGCCAGTTTTGGCTCCGAAGAATTCAGTGACAATTATATATAGATCAACAAACGAGTTTAGGTAATATTAAATATTAGTTTTATGATAAACAATACTCATGTAATCAACACGCTGAACTTGAATAAATTATTTGTTTTTTTCCTTGTGGCAAATTTTTCATAATGATCAATTTTAACTCTTAAGATTCTTTCTTCCAATTAACGAGTTGTCTCATCTTATGTTCATGAATTTGTCACTCTACTTTTTAAATTCATAATTTTATCCGTGTATTATCATTATATGATATTTAAAATAACATTTTTATTTTCATTTTATACACATCTGCATACATTTTTTTGATAGGATATTGACTATATAATTTGGACTGGCGATCTTCCACCCCATGATGTATGGAATCAAACAAGAGAAGAAAACATAAAAATTCTAATTGAATCTATTCAACAGATGTTACAAATATTTCCAGGTATCCCAATTTTTCCATCGCTTGGAAATCACGAAAGTGCACCAGTAAATAGGTACACATTTCTGTACAAATACGTATATGATATATACCTAATATAAAATAGTATCAGTATTTCCGTTTCTAACCAATCTATAACGGCGAGCTATAATTTATATCTATATACAAAATACAAAATAAATTAACATACATTTGTAATACAAGGCATGTACTTCTAATAAGCCCATCAGCTCTCTTGTTTCCCCTCTTGCGCTGATACAGGTCCTTCGACAAAAAGTTGTAAATTTTTTTTTACGATTTTTTAATTAACGTTTTTCAATTTTCTAGATGGTAAAAATTTAATAAGAAATCTATATTAACATTTGTGTCTACGCGTGATCGTACCATTCATTCTCCGTCCATCTAATTTATGGTGCTGATTAGTGTAGTCAGGGAGAGAAGCAACACAGATTCAATGGGCCGTAAAGGCAAAAATAATATATAAGGAATACCTCAATACCTCAATACGGAGCAACTGAGCGCAATGACAGCCAAGTTATGCGCGCATTTCCAGGCAGCCGTGAGTTAGCCAGCGTGGCCTGCATGCAGCTGGCTATGCGCTCGCTTTCTACATCGTGAATCTAATAGCCGATCTAACAGCAGCTACTGAAAAAGTGACTTTTCTGACCGCTACACCATTTAGAATTTTAGTTGTTCTGTGGTTTGCAGAGCCGGGTAACATCCAGCCTATGCAACAACTCCGCCGACGTATTAGAATCTGTCAGATAACCTAGAAAGCGGGTCATGAATAATAGCAGTATCAGCAACAGCTGCAGTCGTAGCAACAGCAGCAAGAGCGACAACGGCAGCATAAACTACATCTCTCTTTGTCTTTCTGTCTGTCTCTCTCTCTCTCTCTCTCTCTTTCTCTCTCTCTCTCTCTCTCGCTTTGATTCGTATATGTTTTGCGAGTACCGTAAGCTCGACTTTCGGTGTGCTGATCATGTTCATTAGTGCTACAATCATACAATTGCGGTATTCATGATGAAGATGGATAAACTATTATGTGGGTATGCATTCGTGCCAGACCATGACAGTTCGAACAAGTTTTATAACAGTTGACAATAAATATTTGTTGTTTTCTCGTTTGTAACTGCTAGAATGATTGATTCTTTTTCTGTATCCTTCTCATTTTTTAATCTCTCTCTCTCTCTCTCTCACTCTCTCTCTCTTTCGTGTACGTATGTCGTACCTTTTACACGCAGCAGGTAACTCAGTAATCTAAAGAGAATGACAGCGACTGAAACAAGCAACACTACGAAACAACTTCGTAAGTAGGTAGTAAGTCACTTCATAGCGAGCGGGCATCTGTCTACGTGCTTCTCTAAGACGCTTCCGTACACTTGAGTGATTGAAGCATTGAAGTGGGTAAACCTGACTCCTGGATCTGTTGTTGTGCAGTTTTAACGGTCGTTCGGTGTTTGCATGCGTTAAATTGTTAACATAGGGGTATTAGAGGTACTGATGTAGATGTTCAGCGATTTAACGGATCTTACTATTTTTTTATGGAATGACTACGTTGGCCTAGAAAGGTGAGTAGTTAATGCGATTCATGAACCAACAGTTAAAGGTCACGGCACTACGAGCGTAGTTTGTGGCAACAAATGTGAGTTGTTAGTGGCAACAACTGTTGAACCTTCTGATTATACGATGGATCAGCGACTGACCCGTCCTAGGTATGCTGTAGAATCATTTATAGCAGACGGAAGCCTGAGCTCAAGATTTGAGCAGAATTTAGTACAGAATCTCGGGGAGAATCAGTGAGAGGCAACAGCTTCTTTGATGCGACAGATGAGTAACTATCGAGATTGATCGAAGGGAAATTCAACCGATGCGATGGCGGCGTCACAGGTGTGGGACAGAAATTCTCGAAAACAACTAAACCGTGGCTGAATGAATCCTGAGGAAATTACCAAAGTACATGCACTTTAATGATTTCTAAGAGGAAAAAGTCTTTATGGTGTTGGAAAATTTGTTCATCTATCGCAAAGAGATTTTGTTCATCAACAATAACGAAAAATGACGTGATTTCCCAGACTTTGAAGATGATTTTCGGCAACAATTCTGCCATCGACTGGATAACAAAGACCTATATTATTAATGATAGCCGGATTATATTACCGCCTTCTAGTGAGATATTCGTTGAATATACCTGCGGACATTGGCGACGGAATGACATAACTTTGATTGATGTTGCATTATACATACCAAAATTAATCCGATGGCAAGAACATTTAGGACATCTTGGCGACAAATTTGAGTGTTGCTATAAGTGAGACCGTAAATGATGTCGATCAACATTTAAGAAGTTCATGCTGATCGAGAACACTGCATATTGAGAAAAAACGTTGTAAAAGATAACAACTTCGGATGTGAATGTATCTACGGCCTCAATGAAAAATATGTCGAGAAATTACAGGAAACAAAATGGACTTAGAAAGTGAAACACAGTGGGAACAAATGAAAAAAGTATTGCCAAAAACAAATATGTCAAGAACGAAGCGATAGAACAATATGAAACCAAGTGCATTCGAAAGCTAAGTGGCTGCAGAATTGAGAAAAATTATGTAGATAAATAAATCATAATTATAACCTCATTCGTATTACAGCACTCAGACAGTTCGAACGTGCGATGAACAGCTCTCCAAAATTCGAGCTTCCGTTAAAATACTACAGTCAATGTAAATAAATCGAACCCAAATAAAACAAATATATATGATATATAAGCAGATAAATTTATTTAAGCTGATATGGTTACAACAACAAAAATAGTCCATACAATAACATCAACAGATAATACGAAAGTATTATAAATAAACTAGCTGCATGGAAAACTATATAAAACGAAAGGATAAGAAATAGCCCAGAAAAAAACAAAATCGATAAAAAAAGGCAAACATACGAGGTCTGTCCGGAAAGTATGAGGCCTACCCTTATATTTTCGTGCTAGCGTTATTCTTTATCATCTGGTGGGTGGCATCATTCAATGTAATCCCCACTTGATTGAACAATACGGTTCCATCGATGTTTCCACTTTTCTAAACAGTCCTGGAACTCACTTTTAGGGATAGCCTTAAGTACACTCGTCGCATTGTTTTCAACCGTTGTTTTGTCATTGAATCGGTGTCCTTTGAGTGCTTTTTTTAGTTTTGGAAACAGCCAAAAGTCACAAGGGACTATGTCGGGACTGTATGGAGGTTGTCGAAGCAATGCGATATTGTGTTTGCGCAAAAACTGCTGCACAAGATTGGATGAATGCGCTGGCGCATTATCGTTATGGAGAAGCCAATCACCACTTTCCCAAGAGTGCGGCCGTTTTCTTCTTATTGCATCAAGCAAATGTTTCAAAATTTGAACGTAGTATTCTTTATTGATTGTCTGACCTGTTGGTGCATATTCGTGATGTACAACACCTTCACAATCGAAAAAAACAATCAACATTGACTTAACATTGCTCCGACTTTGACGTGCTTTTTTTGGTCTTGGCGATGCAGAATGCTTCCACTGTGAAGATTGTTGTTTTATTTCAGGATCATAACCATAAACCCATAATTCATCACCTGTTATAACTTTTCTAAGCACATTATCATCATTATTGACCATTTCCAGATTGTCCAGAGCGATTTCTATGCGCATGTTCTGCTCTGCTGTGAGTAATTTTCAGATGAATTTCGCACACACGTGTTTCATTCCTAAATTTTCGGTTAAAATTTCTGAAATGATAGTTTTTGGTATCCCAAGGTCTTCTTCTAGTTCTCGCATAGTCATACGACGATCTTGTTCGATTGCAAGTCGCACCCGCTCAATATTATCTGCGGTTTTTGTCATCAAAGGAACGAGAATCACTATCGACAGAAGTGCGACCATCCTTGAACCGTTTATACCACTCTGTTATTCGTATTTTGCTCATACACTCGCTTCCGAAGGCCTTTTGCATCATTTCAATAGTTTCCGAACTCGTTTTTCCTAGTTGAAAGCAAAATTTGATGCAATCAATTCGTTGATCTTGTTTTTCAGTCATTTTTGATAATATCAAAATCCGTCGAACGCGAAAAAGGCACTGTAAACAAAGACAAGCTGCGCATGAACTATACGTCCGGTGTTGATGTTTCTGTCCGATAGAGGTCGCTCGAACACTATGGCGCGAAGATATAAATGTAGGCCCAATACTTTCCGGACAGACGTCGTATATCAGTGATTACTGGCTGGAAAACTTAAACGACTAATTTGAAATAAGCAACTGAAATGAAGTATTGACTGGAAAAGAAAACGATGATACAGGTGAAACCTACTATCTATCAACAACGCCTTTAATTGTTGGGACCGTGAAAGAACCATCAATTAACGGAGAATTAAATATTAGCCCATTTGAAAATTTACTCGATAATGTAGCTAAAAATAAATACACATTAACTAACACTAAATAAGAATTTAAATGAATAACCTGGAACTATTTTCACAAACGGTAACAGAATTAGAAAATAAAAATACTGATTTTACACGTTTCAATAAAAGGGAACTAAATCATACAAAATAATTATAAAAAATATGCATCCGTCGGTAAACCTCGATGAATTAAAAAAGGTAGAGTCATTTAAGCATGAAGTATTATGAATTACAAACATTAAACATAGAATAATAAATAACCATTATTAATATTTTTAATTGAAATAAAAATGAAAAAAAAAATATCTATATATAAGAAATAGACAAATTATTAGTTATTAATACAATTAATTATCAGTTTTGAACATCCACGTAAAAAGAGAAATTCCACAATGCATGCGCTGCCAAGAATATAGCCACACTAAAAATTACTGCCATAGAGTACCAGTCTGCTTAAAACGCACGAAAAATCATTTTACAGCTAACTGTTCGAAACAGTCCAAAATAAAAGAAGTCAAATATACGAATTGCGGCGAAAATCATGAAGCTAGCTATAAAAGATGTTGTGCATGTAGTGTAGATGTAGTACAAACTCCTAAGACGAAAGCTTTTTCAAGCACTAAGGCCAAA